TTTTTGGCGAGTGTCTATTTCTACGGGCATGCATTAACTAGTATATAAAATTCTGTGAAATACATTCGATCTTATGAGAAACAAAAGAACAGGATACGGGTCCAGAATTTCAGAGAATGTATCATTAGACATAATGATCCTTATTTTTTTTCCAGGAACATTTACTGCCGCCATATTATCACGCTCAGTTCGCCGTAAGACGTGGTCTATGTGTCTCTCCATGCAGATCGGATACAAGTGAAAATGAATTAACGAAAGCTCAAGAAATCTTGAATTTGGAGATTTTTGAGCCTATGGCTTCTCGAGCAGGAGTTCAACGAGTGCAGACTGAAATACGACAGGGACCCGATCAAGAAAGGTGTCAGAATGTCTCATATGAAGTGCCACCAACGGATCTATTGCGACAGCAACATGCTAGTGGAGACTCGATCCGAAGTGAATGCTTCCATTCCCCGAAACGAAGTGATACTCTTGCTCCAGAATTCCAGAAGTTTCATGATCCCCAGCCAGCTGTGGCAACACGCTCGCAAAGTTTTAGCCCTCTCAAAATAAGTATTCCTCAACGGCCGGACGTTCCACGTTCGTCTAAGGAGGCTGATTTGTCGTCAAACGAGGAAGATTCTGACGCGACCGACGACGAAATGTGGAGTGCCGATGAGAGGGAATTTGATGATGGGTCTTCTGATGATGACTCGACTGACAGCGAGGTTGTTCGAAGAGGGTGGGATCTGAGTCCAAGTGTATCACCATTGACTTTGGAAGCCTTCACTTCCATTCTAAGTTCTCCGGAGGGATCGGACTCAAATGACGACCCAATCGGTGTGCCTGTATGGTCGACAATGTCTAGAAAACATGCGAAGCTAGCAATAGCAGTATGCCGAAACATGCCGAAACGTTTGCAACCGTTGTGTCGACGTTTCGCATGGCAACAAGGGATCACGTACTTGTTAGAGAACTTTTGCCTGCAAAAATGGGAAATACGTCCAGAGCATGACCTAGAGTCTGTCTGGTTTTTTGAAAAACTAGTAAGGCGATTCAAGCCCTTCGACATTGCACCGTGGGAGATAAACGATAGCGAGGAGAGCGATGAGGAACCAAAACGCGTCCAAAACGTCTTCTTCGGTTTCAATATTTGCGCAGATATTCCATTCAGCCGATCTCGGAAGACCTTCAGAATCGAAGATCACGCTTCTTTGTCGTTAACATGGTGAGTCAAATTGGAAAGAGAGAGAGCGTGTGTAGTGTTATTAAATTTGATATGAATAATTAACTGTGAAATGAATAGCTTATTGTTTCAGCAAAGAAGTTCAACGGTGTGATGAAGTGAGTTCTTCCGACACCTGCTCGGCTGAAGGAGTTGGTAAAGTGTAAGTCTTTTAGACGGTTTGCTGAATTATATATGTACATTTTTCTTTTGTTTAGATTCAAGAGGACTTCTGTGGAAGAAACCTCTCCAGCAGCGTCACTTTGTTCCAGTGTGGAATCTGCATCCACAGAAGATGAAGATGATGAATGCTCATCTGATGAAAACATACAGTAAGTCATGGGATGATAGAAAAAGTTTCGCATTTATTTTCATTTTACTTCATCTTAACTCTGGTTGCAGCCACTCAAAGGGACATGCTGCTGAGCAAAGCGTATACGCCAGAAATGTGTCGATGCGTCAGACATTTTTTGCAGTTGCATTTGTCCAAGCTGAAACCGATTCTTTTTATTCAGTGAGAAGCAGGAGTTCATTGCTATGAGTTGCTGCAAGCAATTCCTTCAGCAAATGGATAGCGCGTAAAAAATGGTGAACACTTACAGGTAGGATTATTTTATTTTTTTAACACGTTGACGACGAGCGATTTTTTCCTTGTCGCGCGCATGGGACGAGGCGTTTTTTGCATGCAAAGCGCCGGTAACAACAGGGCAAAACTTATTTTGTAGCTCTGTAAAATCTCGAAATGCACAAAATGCCTTTGACTAGAGTACTCCAGACACGTTTAGAAACAAGGAAAAGTTGTTACTACTGAATGCTGGGGTGAAATTTCAGTGACATCGCCTGGCATTTTCAAACCTCAGGTTAGAATAGGTTCTGAAGGCGCAATTTCACGCATTCTTCATTTTTATTATTAATATGAGCTTTCCTTTAGATGGTACTGGTATCCTGATCACATCTGAAATCTTCTACGAATTTTTCACTCAAGAATGACGCAAAAAACTTTGCGTACCTGACGGAATGAGCTTTTGTTTGACTGTTATCTTGTTCTTCATGATCGAATAAGTGATTTAAACGAGTCATTTCAAGGTCAAAAAACCTGTTTGTGAAATATTTGGCAGTTGATGGACTGGATAGGTACTTTTATCCTGCCTATGAGTAAGACTGAGCCTACTTGACCATCATGGGAACCTAAGGCTAGAAATGGACATTCTACTGACGGTAACCTAATTAGTAAAGGTCGATATGAACAATTTTAGTGAGATTTCCAGTTTGCTGACGGTGGGAACTTTGTGGTTGTGATTCAATTGACAGCGCGTTTCTGCCACTGATAACTAATTCAGAATAAAACTCCCAGGAATTAGAAAGATCATAATTCGCAGACAAGTGTAGTAAGTTAGGACACTGAAGTAAACGTTGAAATAGAAAAGTCGCGGGTTCCATCTAATTAAGAAAGAAAAAACCATTATAAACAAAATAATTAAAATGGTTCGTTTCGCTCCTTCCTCAGACGAACCTTATTATTTCGTCAATCCCCGGAGCTCATCAGTGAGTTGGGATTGGCGAAATAAAGACACAGGGGAAAGACGAATAAACCTTGAGTAGACGTACAAAATTATCATGCAGAGGAGCATGCAATGAAATTAATTGTATATTGACTAAAGTGATATAAATTGAAAAGTATATGTAAAACTTTTATGAAATTAAAAAGGTGGAAATGTTTGTAGCTGTCCACTGAATTAAGCATAAGCTATTGATTGAGTATTCCTTTAACTAGTTTATTAACATTTTTATAATTATTAGCCATTGAGAATTTATAGCATATAAACTTATTTTTATAAATACACTTAACTATATTAGATATAATAAAGTCCTCATGATAACCATTTCCTAGTAACACTCGTATGAACTCTGTTAGTTTATCAGTAAATGTGTCAAATACGGAACAAGTGTTAGCTATTCTAAGTGTTTCAGTGTATATAACGGAGCCTTTATTATTTATGGAGATATTTGTGTCATTATGTGGGAATCTAATAACCTTGAACTGAAAGTCATCCGTTCTTGTTATACAATCTAGTTATAACTCTATTATTTATTATACTTATTGTTAAATCCAGATAATTACTAGATGTTTCACTTAAATGTGTTTTCTTCAATTCAAGTGTATTCATATACACTTCTGCTAGTTGAATGTCAATGTCATCTTCGGTTTGGTTATGTATTCACTAGCAAATCATCCATATATCTGTATGGGATGAAGACTTTATTTTTATTAAACTTATACTTTTATTGCATAATTGTATTCCATGACGGAGAGGGTAAGATCAGCTAATAGGGGACTGAAATTACCTCCTTGTGGTACTCCTTTGTTTTGTTTGAATATATGATTGCCAAATGTACAATAACTGTTTTTTAACAAATATTCTGTGAAGTATAACAGATCAGCAGGTTTGTAATATCTATAGCTACTACTTGTTGATTCACCACTTGTATAGAAGACGTGATAGCCGTTAGTGGCGACAAGCGATTTATCAGCATTCTTAAAACAAATGTTTAAGAGATGCTTTATATTCCTAATAATGACAATATGTTCCAAATTAGTAAACATGTCTGCGAAATCTGCTGTGTAAATTTTGAGATTTTCATGTGCGATATTGTTGAGATCTTGACTTATATTTATGTTGCTAATGACCAATATGTTTTGATTGTTCTATTTCTGTTTTGTATTACTTTAGTATAATTAACGAAGTGATTTTTTATGTGCGTGAAAATAATGTGCATTTCCTGTGCTAGCGGTTTGATGCTACTTTTATGTGCACCTGTAATATATCTAAACTTGATAGGGTTTTTATGTAGTTTAGGTAAAGCATATATGATGGGTAGATCTGCATCTACAAATGTGTTAATATTATTTCTCACACAAGAGGAATTTGTGTTTCAATATCAACGAGTACTTGTTGTTGCATTGTACTGGTTCATATGTGTTATTGGTGTTTTCCTTAACAGAGATGTGGTTGTTAATATCATAGGTAATGCCCATTTCTTTCATTATGGTCAGTAAGTAGAACTTTTTGCAAACTATGCCATAATTATTACTAGCTTTATCCAGGGGACAAAACACATAACTGTTTTGATATCGTTTTATTAACTCGTATGGTATGTACTCCCCTTTATTTTGGATGTTATCCTTTGTTAATATGGGCTTTATTTTATCATGGTAACATGTGTGTAGATATTGTTGCAGAAGATCTACTTGTTGCGTGTTAGCCTTATACTTGTTTTTGAAATAAGAAATAGCTTTGTTAACTGTGTCTTCATATATTTGTTTGACTTCTGGCCTGGTTATGCCATTGTCCAATCTATATCTAGTTCCTTTGCTCATAATTCTTTTTGAGCTTCTCTTCTTTTATTATGTTCAGATCTCCTGTTACGATGTGTCCATGCTTATCATTTACATATTCTTGTACTGTGTCCTCAATACAAGCACAGTTTCTGTTGATTATGTCTTCTAATTCTTCGTTGGTAAGATCTTTCAATACTCTGTTATAATTGTATATTCTACTTGCTACTGGATTATTGTACTTATATACGATTCTGATGGGTGTGTATTCGATTGTATTTCTTCTATTCTTTAAGCAGTATATCTTTGACAGTGTGTGAGTTGAATATTCTGTTGAAAGGTATTTCGTTTGAAAATCCTGCTTTTGAAGCTAACTTCTATATTGTGGAAAGTTCTTTTTTGAAGTTTTGACATTAACTGTGTCAAAATGAAAATGAGCCAGTAGGCAAAATATGAGGTATCTTGTTTTGTTATTAACTGTTTCAAGGAAAGTCTACTGACTTGGATAGATTTACTATCTTGTCGATTTCTTTTCTTCGTAGACTTTTGAGTAACCTGTAGTATTGTACAGGCTTGAACTCTCCATTGCTATTGGTGATTTCTTCCAAAGCTCTTTGGAAAGTTATCCCTTTGTTCTTTCTTTTGTGTCTTGTTCCTCTGTTATTTCTTTCCTTTTGTTAATTTTAAGTGAGAAGAAGGGATGGTTTCCCTTATATAAGAAGAGGATTATCCACGTTTGTAATGTTTCCATACCTTTGATGTTGTCGTTTAAACCAAAGGGATATGGTGTCATTAAGAGTTTAATCCAGAACAGTTTCTTTCTCAAGTAAACTGGTTTTATCATTAGGCTTCATAGAGTCAAGTATAGTTACAGTAATTCCTTTATCACATTTATAAAAATGATTATATAGGGGTGTGTGTACTTTATGTGTAAAAATATTTGTAATGTGTTCTCCAATTCTTTCTTTAAGTTTCCTTATTGTCATCCCGACATATTGTATTCCACAGCCATTGCATGTTAAACAGTATATAACATTTCCTTGTGTTACAGTTTGTATCTGCTTCCTTGTAGGTTTTGATGTGTAATCCTGTCACATGCGATATAATGAGATTGTCAGTATTGGTAATACTGCATGTTCTACATTTTTTGTTACATTTGCAACCCTTATTGTTGTTTCCAAAATCTTTTAGTATGTAATGGTCACACCCGTCCCTTACCTTACTAAAATTTGTTTTTGTGAAGTAATTAGCGGACTTTGAGCATTTTTTGACCTAGATCTAAGCGCACGCGCGGGATAAGTTTGCTTACTTTCAAGCTGTCGGTCACCATTGACCGACATCGTCCCATGTGACAGACTGCCAGTCGGTCAGCATTGACCGACATCGTCGCCAACGTGTTAATATTAATTTGGCATAAAAAGGTCTTTATCCCAAGGTGAACGCTAGGTGTTTAGGGTTGGTGAGCGGAGTGCTGTTCAAGTAACATCGATTTTGGCAGAGCTTTATCGCGAACACAGAGCTGCTTATGAGCTAATGATCGCCGATATAATACCGATTCCGACACCGGATCAACGTGAAATTCCGTTCTCTGATAACGCGGAATGGGTAGCTTCACGAATTCTCGCCATAAATAGAGCTCAGAATAGGCTTTTAATTCCAAGTGAGTGGAACGAACCAATTGTTAAGCGTAATTTCTTCTTATGCGTCAACTTATGAGCTACTCAATCAATAATGTTGGAGCCCATCCGTAGGAGTTCATTCCTATTTCTAAGAAAGCAAATATTGTAGCTTTTCCGCCATGGGCTGCAATGCATCGTCTCTGGAAGGTATACGGACCACTCCATCAATGTGCGTCAGCAATAGGAGGAGACTTCGAAAAGTTTGTGACGGAGTGTGTCAGCGTTGCTTACAATCACTATTATAGGCTGTGAGTCACTTCTCGATATTTCTTTAGTGCAGTACCAGTGAGCCCTTTTCAAAGCGATAATGAAAAAAAAGTCAAAGAATCCTTCATTGTCAGGAAAAATGGTATCAAGGTAGCTGATGAAATCCCTGGTGATCTTTTGGACTTATGTTACGCAATTACATCGGAACGCATGCGTGAACACACAGAAAGTGTCGAAGCTGCGAAGAAGAAAGCTGACGGGGAAGCAAAACCCTCAAAAACATGGTGTGTGTTTCCTTATAACTTGTATCTGAGGTTCATGCGCTCATAGATCACTCATCGTTTTGCTCAATATCTTTATCATCTATTGTTTTGAGGACTCCACTGAAGCGTCGTGAAGGTCTTTGTTCATTTTCGGATCAAAGAACAGCGAATGCTCGACTTTTGTCACGTTGTCATCGCGTTTACGATGAAAAAAGGCAAACTAGGAGAAGAAGGTGGAACGCGATGCGTTATCTCCACAATGCACTGCCTGGATGTGTCATTGGTGAGGGATTTCTATTTAATACGATATTATTGGTGGTTCGCCTGTCTGCACCACAGGACTTTTGCCTAGGTCGAGGTTTCTGAACCATTTATTTTTCCAATTCCCTTCATATGAATTTTTTCGAATTTTTCTTAAACATCACTCAGCACCACCACAGGACGTGCCATAACTATGGTAACAATATAAGTATGGCAAAGATAGTGCCAGTTGAATGAATTGTAACGGAGCTCCACTTGTATTTACATTGCATCCTACCAACGATTCAGCTGTAACGTTGCTATACACTGCGTCCCATAATTATAACTCCACCTAAGAATTTCCCAAAATCTCACAAATTAGATGTTTTAGAAAAAGTCTCCAATGTGGCAGTGTGTCAAATACAAATACGAAATTGCCTATGAACATCAACTTCCAACTTGAGATCCCAGGAATTTTTTCTAATAATTTTTGTTCAAAAGGCCACTTAGCCGACGTCCCAAAATTATAACTCCACCTCATGTTTTTCTATTATTTTTCACTTCCGTTTCGCCAAACTTTTTTATTGTGCTAACATTTACTTCTCAAGGGGACAGTATGATAGAAAATGCTGTCTGACTTTTTAAAAGGTCAGGTCGTCGCAAAAACTGTTGAACAACGCAATCGCGCCAGATTTGGACCAAATTCACGCCAAGCTCAAGAATTTCTTCAGGGGTTTACATGATATGGAGCTTAGAAGAGCTCTAAAGGTCTCTCATTGATTTTCGATGGAAACAAAGGCCGTGTCACAGAAGAAACATCCTTTTTTAGAAGCCGTGCTCTGCCATCGAATCTTCTTTGAACTTAATGTCTCAACGGAACAATGTTTCTTGCTTGCGAAGAATCCCAAGTTGATTCTTGAGTGGAAAACGTGGAAGGCATCATCTGTGGCAAGAAACCATGGCGAAAATCGGGCTGAGTTTTCCATGAAGGTGCATCCGAGCCGACTGGAGTAAGGTTCGCTTTTACTTGCGATGCATTACTGTTTGTCTGTCTTTCTCTTCGCATTTTCTTTCTCCTGGTAGTGCTTCGCGAAGAGAAAAGCTACTAAGGATAAGAAAAGACACGAAAAGAAAAACAAACAAATGCTAAAACATATCAAGCAAAAGCGAACCTTACTCCAGTCGGCTCCGCTGCACCTTCATGGAAAATCAGCCCAATTTTCGCCATGGTTTCTTGCCACAGATGATGCCTTCACGTTTTCCACTCAAGAATCAACTTGGGATTATTCGCAAGCAAGAAACATTGTTCCGTTGAGACATTAAGTTTCGAAGAAGAT